TCAGCCAGCCAACCACCTATCAAAGTATCCGGTGGAATCAGCCAGCCAGCCAGCAAAATATCCGGCGGAATCAGCCAACCAGCCACCAAAAGTACCCGGCGGCTGGCGGAATCAGCCACATAAAGGGGTCCGTATAAATGCTATGTTGTTATATCTCTTTTCACACCTATAAAGTTCAATGAGACTTCAAAGCTGTGGATTGCTGTACGTGTGTAAAAGTTATCGAGCGGTTGACGGAAAGGGAACTTGAAGTACTATACCTGGTAACTGAATTGTAGTTACCCTGGGTATCTATACCTGCGCCAGCTGAGTAAGAAGGGGGGTTCGCGGGGGTGGCCTGAGAAAGCACACTCGAAAGCAAAAACGCTGGCTTTCGTTTTGCCGCTTCTCAGGTTGTTTATGTTGTTTGCCTTGCTGGCAGGAAGCCTTCCCAGGACGCGTACATGGCTTCACTTTTTGGCCCGAAGGGTTGATCAAGGAGGCATGGTTCCAACCAATCAATCAGTCAATCAACCTTTACGCGCGCAAAAACATCGGCTCAGGTGGAAATTGCTAACAACGCTCTGTCCAATGTTGCTGTGCTCCCACAAGAGCTTCGTTCCCATGGAACAACAATCAACAAACAACAACCAACCACCACCAACAACAACAACAACATGACTTTGCTTTCCCGGCCTCAGAGAGGCATGTTTGCGATGCGCTAGCATGTCGGAAAGCTGCAGTGCAGTTTGCGTGGACAGCGCGCATCAGAGCTCTTTTGACACGTGGCAAACATCAGACAAAATGAGCTTCTAGGATCTGAAGGGTTTAGCCATCAGTGGCATGGCAATGTGGCTAGTTATGTGACCACTATAGTGGATCAATTTGTATTGTTGAACGAAACCCGAAGCCATCACTAGCCTACACTACTTGTGACGCCTCTTACCATTTGGCGCCAATACTTGTTTGGTCCATGTTTCCTTCATTAGCCAACTGTGTGTGCCAAAAGTAAAGAATATGTGAACTTTCAGCTATTTTTGAAAGAACGCATTTCGACCAGATCAGATTCAAACTCGCTTTTCCCGGACCGCCGCCACTCTTTCTGGTTTTAGCGCGGCGTGCGCCAGAACCAGTCACACGCATTTGGGTAGTGCGGTTAGGTCCTCTGAACCTCTAACTGCGGTACACTGAAACTCCACGGCCCGTGGAGCTGGGACTTGTGTAAAGGACCATTCTCACTCAAAATAGACGGGAACTGTGGCCGGCGCCTCGTCTGTACACGCGAAAAGTGACTCAACTGTACGCGCGAATGAGATGCCGGAAGCCACCTATGAAAGTATCCAGCGGAATCAGCCAGCCAGCCACCTATCAAAATCCCGACGGAATCAGCCAGCCACCTATCACAGTATCCGGGAGAATCAGCCAGCCAGCCACCTATCCAAGTGGCCGGCGGAATCTGCCAGCCAGCCAGCCAGCTATCAAAGTATGCGGTGGAATCAGCCAGCCAGCAACCTATCAAAGTAGCCGGCGGAATCAGCCAGCCAGCCACCAAAGTACCCGGCGGAATCAGCCAGCCAGCCAACTAAAAAGTAGCCGGCGGAATCAGCCAGCCAGCCACCAAAGTAACCGGCGGCTGGCGGAATCAGCCCCCAAAGTATCCGGCGACTTGCGGAATCAGCCACCTAAAGTATCCGGCGGCTGGCGGAATCAGCCGCCTAAAGTATCCGGCGGCTGGCGGAATCTGACCCCGAACTTCAGGGTCTATAGTTATTTGTGATTTCCGTGCTTTTTTAGATGGACACGGAGAAGGCCAACCCACCTCAAACAACACTCTAGCAGCTTTGCAGGATTATGATCCAAATCTGCGCAGGAAGCTTCCTGGCAGCTGGCGCTTGCTCAAAACGCGGAGCACTATGGCAGTGCAGTTCCCCGTCGCGCCCCCACCGTTGACTCTTTACGCACTGTGTGTTTGGAGCACCCTCAAAGGTATCCCTTTGTTTGGCCTATCGCTTCGCATTGCATCTTTTGGGCTCCTGCGGGCCAGAGAGCTTTTGAGCATTCCTGCGCGTGACAAACTCGCGGCAACCCGCAGAAACAGATCCCATGTTTAAACACAACAGGTTCGCAATCTACCGCAGCATTGGGTTTTCAGGCCCCTCCTCCACTCTCAGTATGGGTTGGAACGCGGAAGATTAGGCTCATTTTTGAACACGGGCGTTTGTGTTAGCTGGGGCTTCTTTTTCGTGTTCATTTCAGGTTGTGCTTGTTTTTGTTTGCCTTGTTTTTTGTGTTGCTGTTCTTTTTTGTGTTGTTTAATTCCGGATCCTTTTTTGTGTGGTTGTGGTTTGCGTTGTGTTTTTCTTGTGGTTTGTTGTCGTTCTTTTAATTCGCGATGCTTTTTCCGTTCAGTTTATTTGTTTAATCGGTTCAAGTTGTTTTTGGTTTAAATCCTGCTGTTTGTTTCTGCCTGGTTTTTGTTCCTTGTGGCTTTCTTTGTAATTTGCGCTGTTTAGGTGTTGTGGCTCGAACGTTCCCGTCCGTACACTTGTCATTCCCCACCAACGTGTGGGGGGTGCGAACCGAGTGCCACAGCAAGACGGCTGCTCATTTCCAATCCCTCTATAGGTCATTTTCCAGCAAAGCCACGGTTACTGAAGTCACACGCGACTGTGGTCGGAGACTCGGAGAGAGTATCGATTTTCTGGATCCTATAGATCCCAAGCTCGGATGGGAACACATTGAGGTAGCAAAGATCATCACTGGCAAATGTACACAATAGGTGCCGTTCCAAGGTAGCACACCTTTTGTGAGACACACGGTCAAAATCTAGAGGAGGAAGATGCCATTCCAAGATGACAAAGCGTTGAAACCACTTGACTTTGTTTACATTGCGGGGGAGGCGCTGCGCCCTCCCCCGCACCCCCTCCCGCTCATGTTCTATTCAATAAATTTCCATTGAACACCGGAATCTGTTCCACGGTGCGAAAGGACTGTGTTCCAAAATAAGCCGAATCATGTGTTCCAAAATGAGCCTCCTCCCGTATGGGCTTGGGAGCAAAATGTCTGTAGACGATTGTGGGCGTATATAATATATTATATAAATATATATGTCGTGTATGTATATTATTTATAAATACACACCCAATATGCGGTATAGGTGGTTTTCTGCAATTTCACGAATCGAGCCACATAAGGTTTTGGATCTTTTGTGCGCAATTGTTGGGTCCTTGCCTCTTATACGAACTCACCAGCTCGATTGCGGCCAGGAGTGGGCCGTGAGCCTCGAGATGGGCAGTTGGATTGCCTTCGAGCCCGCCATTTCCATCGAGGGCTTGGCCTTCGACGTCTTCGGGAAATCCGAACTGCTGGCGCGTCAGGCCTCATCCACCTTGTGACTTGGCGGATCTTGGTGGTAACGTGTGGGATGAGCTGGGCGTTCGTACTTGGTGGTTGGGAGTGTGGGAGGGCATCAACCATAAGCACCTCAACATCCAAAGACGTCTTGTGGCATATGCATGCAGTACTCAGTATGTGTGCGTTCGGAATGACGCCTTTCAACCCCCCATAAATAGATATCCTCTACTTTAAAATGAGATAGGATGAGGGCCTTGAGGCCCTATATCAGCAGGTCATTTTGTAGAGGCCCGGCCTTGCATTTTGTAGAGGAATGCGTTATATATTGTTTCTAAACGGTGTTTTCTTTAGGATAGACCCCTACCATACCTCCTACCTACATTTTGTAGAAACGGTAATTTCCATGCCCGGCATTTTGTTGAGAGAGTGTTCGATTCGAATTGAAAGTCTCATTTTGTAGAGGTTTGTGGATTCAATCAACAGTGGAGAATGCATTTTGGTGCATTTTGTGGAGATGATTCAGGTGTGGAAGAGGCATTTTGTAGAGTTGTTGTTGCGCGATACATTTTGTAGAGAGTAGAGATCTTCAGTCGCGTGTGGATGCAGTATTTTGTAGAGAAGGCATTTCAAAAAAATGATATATATATATATAGAGAGAGAGAGCATGTTGTAGTAAATTTTGGGTGATTTGGGTCGAGTCTTCCACAGCATTTTGTAGAGAAAATTCTGGTAAGCATGTTGTAGTGATTTTGATAGATTTTGTCTTATTTTGTGATATTTTGTTGCTATTTCAATCTATTTGATTCTATTTGACTGTGGAAAAGCATGCTCCAACCCCAATTGCAATGGCCTCCAGCCTGGAAGCAATGCCAGGTCATTTTGTAGAGTTTTGAGATTCATTCGACCCAAAAGGACTAGGGCCATTTTGTAGACAAGATTTTATTTCATTTCAACTTCATTTTGTAGAGCGTCAAATCTTTTTGACAAGCAAATTGTAGAGTCATTTTGGTACAGCAGGTGTCATGCTGTAGACAAGTTTCATCAAAGCTGTCTACGAAAATGACGTCGAGGCCCATCATTTTACAAAGAGGGTGTGCCCTCATTTTGGTGGTCATTTTGTAGAGGGTGTCATTTTGTAGGGGCTCGACGCGATGTTTTTTACAAAATGAGGATCCCCACCCCCCCCTTTATTTTAACGGGGATACATTTCATACATGTGTTATATGACTGTGTTTATAGTTATTTTAAAATACTGCAAGAGTGCTAGAAGAGGAAACCCCACCTGTTCACAATGTTCTGACTCACTGGTCTGTCAGAAGCATGAGGAGAGTTGCTTCCCAACTGCTTCCGCGTTCCCGCAGTGCTTGTGAGGCTAGAAATCATGTGTAGCGCATATCTCACTAACACGGGCCAAGATCCAGCGGAAACCCACTCAAAAAGGAAAATGCGTCGAAGATGATCCATCTTGGAGGCGTTTCTTGGTAAGTAATGTAGAATCTTGATAAGTAACCCCACACGGGTTCATTTAGGAGGTTTCATGGATTCTTGGGATGCAAACTGTGGCACTGATTGTTTACCTTCTGTGGGGTTACCAACGCTGGGAGGTGTTAGCGAGAGAGAGATAGAGACAGAGCCCGAAAGTCTTCCATTGCAAACCGTTTGTTTATATATGTAGTTTCGTGGACGTACTTGTTCCGGCACTTAGTAGTGCGCATGTAACGACAAAAGAGTTTCTTTGTGCAGACAAGTTAGGTATGCAGGTATGCGTGTCATTGTGAAACTAGAACACTGCAACTAAACCATGGCTCCCTTATTCTTTAACCGTGGCATCTGTAGGACTGAGTGAGATTGACGCCAACTGCACCTGTCAAGCATTGCTCAGGTTAGCCGTGTTCACCTTCGCATGTGCCTTAGGGGTGACGATCGGTGGTTTCATCTATGATTTGGCCGGTTGGCGGGGCATGTCCGTGTTCCATGTGGTGTGCCAATCCTCGATGGTCTTCCTCTTTGCTACCCAACCTTCAACTTTGATCTCTTTCCGCGAGTTCTTCCACCGGTCCGACCCGCTGGTGGACGACTCTGATGACTCCGGACTCCACACCGTCGTGCCCGCGACTCCTGCGAATCCTGCCACCAGCGCGGCGGGTCCCGCGGTGCGCGGGACGCCGCCTGCCTCGCACCGTGAAGATCTGGTCGTGGAAGAGGTCGCAGACTCTGTTCCGGAACTCCCTGGGACGGTGGACGAGGCGAGTGGCGTTGCCTCGGGCGAGGTCGGCGAGGTCGGCGCGGTCTGCTCTGGTATGCGGCAGAGTGCCGTGAGTTGTGTGAGCCAGAACAGCCACCGAAGCACTGTGGAGCGACGGAGTTGGCGTGGGCCGCCCTTTGGCTGGTGGAAAGGGGGGGGAATGAGAAAGAACATGCCAGGAGCATGAAACTGCAAGTGCCGAAACATGAATGGAGTTTCCAAAAGACAAAACAACATTGACATGACATCATAAACATGGACTCAATGGCACAGTTAGGCCTGTTTTGGACCACTCATCTCATTTTGTTCGCCGCTCCAAACGAACACATGGTTTCGCGCAACACCAGTTGTTTGAGGACCATGGTTTTCCCAGGGGCTATGCCATCCACTTCCATGTGATGTGTTCGGAGGATGGTCCGGTGATGGTCACCTCAGAGCGAAGACGTCACACCAGCTACTTCTGAACGCTGGGCCCGACCTGTATAGGTGTTCTGACCATCCCGGGCCCGACGGTGGGCTCCATTCGACGTGCTCAGAAAGAGCACGTCGCCGACGAACCGCTGAGGCATTTACGTCATTCCGTCACCTCAGCGGCATCGCGCCTCACCAAGCAGACGATGAAGTCCCACAAGAGTTTCCACACCGTGAACACCAAAGGCAGCAAGGGCACACAAGGCGCTTTGCACGTGGGTCTTTTTGGAATTTGGCGGATGGACCCGCATGTGGCGCCGTATAAGGTAATAATTAGACTGTTGATGAAGGGAACCCCCTAATTACCAGAAATTACCACAGTCTTGACTGAGTCTTTTGTTCGTCCCTGTTTCAGCGAGAAACGGAAACGGCTGAAAACGCCTGAGATCGCTGGTTTCATTGTGCGAGACGCAGTGGGTATAACGTGTTGTGTGTTTTAAGAGTTTCACCTGGGAAGACCTGGGCACGAGTTGCCCTTCCCTTCATGTCATGTGCAAGCTACCCAACAGCGCCCTTACCGTAGACCCGGACCATGGTGCGAAAACTCGCAAAAAAAACGACTCCAGTTTGAGGCGCAGTTCGTCTTTGAGTCTGAGTCTTTGACCGACCTTCCGAGGCACCTTCCTGTCAAAGGTGACAGGTGTGACCAACTTGAAAGATTCGGAGAACTTGGAGCATACCTTTCTGGCCAATAATGCTCTTCGACCCACGGTTCAGACAACACGAGCCGGAGAGCCGAGAGACTCATCTGGAAGCCATGCATTTCCTTTAAGGTTGTTTCAGTGTTTTTCTTATGATTTCCGAGTTGAACGGAAAGTCTTCAAAGATTTATATATATATATATAAGGAAGCAAGGCCGGTTCTTTTTTGGGGGAATGATGATGAGTTGGCAAGCTGTGACTTTCCGCTTGGGCGTTTGAACGAGTGAGGAGGAGATGAGGCTGAAGATAAGAAGACCAAAGGCATCCCTAAGGATTTGCGAATTCCTGCTCTACTGATTGTGATGTGCCTCACTGGCATATGGATGCGCTGCAAAAAAATTGCCTTAGGGCCCCAACATGCTCCAACCGCATCCTGCGAAGGTAGTTAGACCATCCCCATAGGGTTGTTTCCATACACCAGCGAAGAGTCGCGCCCTGAGGAGACAGTGCACTAGTAAAAGCCGACCGAGATTCACCTCAATGGCCTGTCCCCAAAACTCAGCATGATTGAACATCCATCCATGTGCAAAACCTGACTGGTTATATAATTGAAAACATTTAAATACATGGTTTTGCTGCATTGCTCGTCAGGGTACTGGTGTTTGCGGTTGGTTGGGGTATGCAGGAACACCTAGCATGCCTTTATCATATACCTGGTTTAAGTTGGAGTTTGCTTGCTGCATGTTAGGAGCCCGGCTTCTCCCTGATTAGGTTAAGCTGCGCCACAGGTTTTGCCTGGCAGAATCTTGCACGGTTGGCTTGTCCCTGCATCGGTGGCGCGCCTGCTGGATAGGACCGGTGAGATTTGATATTCATTGGTGTCATTGTCCCGCATAGGACGGAGCCCCCCTTTTTCGCGAATGTGTTGCAGCAAAGGCTCTAAGGTGGACCTTCGTTCCACTGACCGCGGTGGACCGCCAAGGCTGCATTCGTTTGGCGGCAACCAACGCCGCGGTTCCCAGCACCCGGAAGCCCAAAAAAAGGAAACAATCTGATCACGATCCATTTGGCTGTGCACAACCTTTTGTGCATGGGGGTTAAGGAGTGCCTTGCGTCTCTTGAGAGGCCCCGAAAACTGCACCAACTTGTAGGAATGAAACGGTTTTTCTTCACGAGCGAACAACATCAACATGCTTTCTTTGTCATAGGTCTGTGTCAAGAAAAAATAGCAGGTTTGTCGTTTTTTTTGAAATAATGAGTGGACTCGAAGAAAATCCAGTCCAGTCAAGGACAACATCGTGCATGCATCATCCAACGCACAGCGCGTCTCGCATGCTCGCACATCGTGCAACGCGGAACAGTGTGTGGAATGCTCGGCTCGCAGCTATACCTTGCCCAAACTCGTCCCCGATCTTCAGTCACAAAACTCAATGCTGAAGGAATTGGACATACCGGTCCCATTGATTCAATAGCCTTCACCAAACAATGTTTTTTTACTGAGGACATTGCGTCGCACCCAGGTCAACCTTTTTAATGATCCTGGAAGATTATGGTGAAGTGGCGTTCCATGATGTTTCGTGGCATCGTTTTTGGGAGTTTGTGCTGAAACCTGGGTCCCATCCCGCCGAATGGGTCACAGAATTCATCACCGAATCAGTCAGTGGCCACATGAGGTGCTGCTTGAACAACAACCTCAGCTACGTCTTAGAGTTCAGCACCTTCGCCATTTTTTTCAAAGAGTACCATGGCTGGAACTCGGCCCTGTGGGCCAGTTTGGCCCAGTCCGCAGGAGACTTGACAGCGGCTATCATGATGAAACTTCTGGGTGCTGCTACGGATGATGATGAAGAAGCGGGAATCCTGCGGCGTTTGACCAAGCAACCCTACAGCTTGTCTTGCCTCCTCTTTATATGGCTCCTTTGCAACTTGGGCATGACCAGCCCTTGGTTGCCATTGGCAGTGACGGCGCAGGTGATCATGGGGACCGTGTACGTCTACACTTCCAAGCTCACGACTGACCTGAATCTCTTCTACTCCCTCGGTGATCAGTCCCTCTTCCTCCACCTTCAGGTGCATCGGATTGTTTATGGAAGTGGTGCAGGCCAAGTTTGTAGCCTGTGGACACTGCTCCGCTAAATCAAGTCTCGTGGAGGGAGTGTTCAAGAGACGCTATATAGTTTGTTTTTTTTGGTTTTGTGTGTGTCAACGCCTGTTTCCAAGGATTTTCACTTTCCCTTTACGACTATTTCAATCTTTGTGCTTTTAGACCTCACAACACTCTACTTCATAGCAGCAGGGGCACTGAGCACTCCTTGGCAAACTCAGTGCAACGAAGCTATGCCTTGGAGTGGGAAGCACGGATTGATCACCCTGCGACAATTTTTAAAGCAGACTCTTCACGTTTGACCCTTGTTCAAACCTTCTGTTCATCCGACCCAGCACTTCATGCCGTTTTGCAAGTCAAGGTCTACAATGCATCGGGTAATGTAATCGTCTACAGTGGGACTTCATACTGATACTAGCTCTTGCGAGCAACAATCTAAGTGTGTTTTCGCCACAGGGTCCCACTGAGGGCTGTGGTGTGATCCCCGCCAAGGGGCGCCGCGTGTGCACAGACCCAGATCCTGGGGGGTTCCTTCTGAATATTCCGTTCTGCAATCCTGGACTTCTCTTGATTCTCCGTGATCGGCGGTACTGCACGATACCACTGATTTTATGCCGCAGGGCTCACTGAGATCAACTCCAGTTTGGAATTTCTCACACATTCATGTACATGTCATGTTCACTTCGCTAATTAATCAAGGCAGGATGCACGCATGACCATGTCGCACTTTCTTGCTGTCTTGTACGATCCTGATCCATTTCCACCGGGACGCCATGAACTACCAGTGGCTTTCTCAAGCTTCCCCGATGACGAGCTCAACCGCACCCTACGGTTCTCTCAGCCCTTCACCATTGACGGCACCCTCGACTCCTTATGGACCGATGCCAACAATGCAAGTTCCTGTACCTCAACTTCAACCACCTCTGCACCATTCACCTCTTCACTACACATCGACTTTGACACCTACCGGCCTGCCACCTCAGCTGGGATCCATGCCTACCGCACAACTGATTCAGCCTCCACCTACACTCCACACCATTCCTACGTTCACCCCGGTACATCCCATCTAACAGCCCGACACCAGTTCCACGTGGAGCTTACCAGCTATGTTGGTCCCCACAATCTCACTCACCTGTTTGGCCACCAACATTTTCCCCCCCAGACAGTTCCACCCACTGTTTCCCCCCTGGAGCAACTTCAGCCAATACCAATTCACCCCGTCACCCCTCCCACCAACCCTGCTTCCACGGCAACAACCCCCACAACCGTTGCTCCTGCCACATCGCCACCGACTACTTCCACACCACCACTCACCAACCCACACACACGTCTCTGGACGCCGTCTCTGCCCCCACCGTGCCTGTTGCCACTCCCAACCCTCCCCCAACCAGCAGCCCCAACCTCTCGCCCACCACCTATCAATATCACTGTTCCAACTCCACATCCCCCTCCACCGCCGGTCTCCACTGCGGCACAATCCCAAGGCCCCTTTCCGCCAACGGCCTACTACCACCGCCAAGAACCCAGCGATCCAACCCCCAGCCTCAGGTGCACCTCAATGGCCAGTCACCAAACCCCAACCACCACAACACCAGGACTCGTTCCCGCTCCCCGCGTCGTCAGCCACTTCGATTCACTCCCAACCCCCAGCACGTTGACATTTCGGCATCCACCTCAGTCTCAGACTCTACCAATACTCCACGTAGCAAAGGCATCCACGTCGCCACCACTACGAGAGCTGACCCCATTGATCCACTCCGACGACCTCCAATCCACACACCGAAACAGAAAGAGATTTTGAAAGACCTATGACACCAACACGTTCCAACGGATCCTTCATTTCCTGCACCACCAATGTGATCAACTCAACCCCTCCAACTCCCCCATGCTTGAGTATGTGGCCAAAGTTCTCACCAATGCGGGCATCAAAGCCAAGGACCTCCACGATCTCCAGGAATGGACCCATTCCGACTGGAAGGAACTCTTCGGATGCAGTGCCTCGTTGGATGTCAACAGGTCCACGGGCACGTGGATGGTAGAGGTACGAGGGACCAGGCCCGGAATATAGACACCTGAAATGGTCGGCGAGTGAAGTCTTGAAGTCCTTCCCAAACACGTAGGTCCGGCATCGGGGGGCTGCTTGTTGGGAGCGATCGCGGATGCATTGGGAAAGTCTACCGCTACGTGGACAACCGCTTCATAGCCTTCAACCGGACATTCCTCAAACACATCGCCATCCAAACCCTCATCCACCCGGACTTCTATGGCAACCCAGTGGAGCTTGAACCAGTAGACGATATGCACCTACTGGGCTTTGATGTGGATCTTCATCAACGGACTATCACCTACATTCCACCTGATGCTCCATGGAAAATTCGTCATTTCAGCTGGCTCTACACGCCTACGACTCTCAGGTTTTCACTCCAGAGCTATCGAGCGAGCGCTCGCTCAACTAGCCGACTTGTACGTCCAAAAAGGACATGATCTTCACAGCTGTCGCCAAGCACTACGAAAAAGCTGGCGCTCCGAGCTCCCTCCCCCCAAGGGTTTCCTTCACCCTCCCCTAAAGAGAGTGCGCCGATTACGGCCCTCTGTGTGTGTGTCAACGCCTGTTTCCAAGGATTTTCACTTTCCCTTTACGACTATTTCAATCTTTGTGCGTTTAGACTTCACAACACTCTACTTCATGGCAGCAGGGGCACTGAGCACTCCTTGGCAAACTCAATGCAACGAAGTTATGCCTTGGAGTGGGAAGCACGGATTGATCACCCGTGTGTACCTGCGACAATTTTTTGGCAGACTCTTCACGTTTGACCCTTGTTCAAACCTTCGGTTCATCCGACCCAGCACTTCATGCCGTTTTGCAAGTCAAGGTCTACAATGCATCGGGTAATGTAATCGTCTACAGTGGGACTTCATACTGATACTAGCTCTTGCGAGCAACAATCTAAGTGTTCAATCTGGAAAGATTTGAGGAAGCCCCGTGGTCGCCTGTAAAATTGAATTTGGTTTGAAATCCCTTTGTGTTATGATATGTTATGATGTTTATGTGCTTCATGGTTTGCAATTCATATACAGGCGTTGCCTATGTTATGTTGCGCATTGTTTCACACAAAGCATGCACTGGGGTTCCATGTGTTTCCCTTTAGTACACGGATATATAGTATATATATATATATATCTTTTTTGTATGTCAGAGTCAGAGTTTTTTCAGCATCGGAGGATGTCAGTTCGGGAAATGGACTAATCAAGTGTTCAAGAGTAAATATATCATTTCCATGCGACTGCAGCCCTGCCACCTTTGAACGGCACGCCCAACCCTTCGCTTGTGATCAACCTATGCTGGATCGCCAGGTTTGGTGCAAGAATTTGGAAGCTCTTGGAGGCTGTGCAGCTAGCTTCCTGGGCCCCTTCCTCTTCGAAACGGTCTCACCCTTCTTCCCCTTCTTCGTGAGCGCTACCTTTTCGCTGGTGACTCGGTGTTTGCATCCGCATCCGCCACGCCGCAATGCGATGCGGCCAGGTGGCACGTTCCAAACATGAAGACTTGAAGTTAGCTATGTAAAAAATCTTGCCGTTATTGGACCTGATCATGTGACGTTTGGGCTGGACTTCGGGGACGTTTGATCTTCCGTGTGTTTCGCTCCGGAGTGGCCGGGTGAAGTGGTTTCAGAGGGGGTTGCTCCACAAAAGCCATTGACCACGCTATATGTTTGACGTCATACGCAGCACGTACGATCCGGCAACAAGGTCATCTGCAAGAATGCCATGACCATGGCTGGTTTTTCCCCGCAGCTATAGATGATGCAAATCGTTTCAATTCCTTCATGAACTGCAGGTTTTTACCTTGGTCCGCTTTCCTTTTCAAGTGACTCCAGGTGACCTTCATCCTCTTCACCTCGGGTTTCTGCCAGCGCTTGGGCTTCCCACCGGATGTCGAGGCGGCTGAGGCGCAGCGTTCGCGGCGCTTGGGCTTGCGGCGCGTGAGCCACTGGAGCGTGGTCAGCCGGAAGAGCCATGTGGAAGCTCGGTGTGGAGGGACGGGGGTATGGCATCAAAGCTACGTGAGGGAGGCCAGAAACACAGCTTGGTGGTGAAGCCCAACAAACCACGCCAATTTTTGTGGGATCCAGGTCGGTTCAGAAACACCGGGCCAGAGGCTTCGTTGCAGGCCCCTTGTGGGTGGTTGGATGGGAGCCCAGAAGAACGGAAGAGCCTGGAAAAAGCCATGCGGAAAGCTCCGTCGGTGGAATGGATCTGGGATTGATTGGGTCTCCTCCAACGCATCACGGAAGAGGCATGGCGGGTCCTCCGCCCCCTTTTCGCGATTGAAAGGGAAACCGCCAGCGATTGAAGGCAGCCAAAAAAAAAAAACACCTCCCGGGCCTGCTCGTTGGCAGATGTCGGCAGTGAGCGAAAAGAAAGAACCTTGGATGTCGATTTGTCCTTCACGTCATTCAGTGGTGGTTGACGTGGAAACCCCCGCTGAATCTCTATATACTTCAAGAACCCTAAAGTTTACGCTTCTTACTCTGTTCCAACATGACACTTGCAGTCTACAGCGGATCGGATTAACACGTCCATTTTTTGCGTGGCAGGTACAGCACGGTCAGATTTCCACACCCCAGGTGTGGAAATCTGACTGCAACTGAGGTGTCGACATGTTGCACGTAGGATTCTAAGGGGAAAGGGTTTGTGATGTTTTAGAAGTCAAGAAGCGCAACTTTTGGCACCCCAGTGTATGTGAGACGTGTTCGTCCTAGTGTTCCTCCGCTCCATTGTGGTGCCCAGCCAGACATGCATCCGTGCGAGCTCGAAGACCATGGACGTTGGGGTGCGAGCTCGAACACCCAGCAAGTTGGGGTGACGATGTTTGGCACAACCAGACGCATTAGACTCTAGACTTCGTCAGTCAGGTGTTGGAGTCAGATGGTTGGACGCTGGGAGATGCGTATACGGAGATCCGTGGTTCGGTGGTTCCATCCCTCAGGTCCCACTTTCTGGTCGGCGCAGGGGGTCTGTTCATTCAGAGCTTACCCTCTGACGAACACATCACATGGAAGTGAAAAATGGTCACTTGGAAGACTACTTTCCTCTACCAACAGGGCATCTTCCACTTCCATGTTAGTGAGTGAGAATGGGACCCATTTGCGCTCCAGGCACTCAGTCACCTCGTGGCAAGCCACATTCCACGGTCACATGGCGCACGGTGGAACCTCCCAGCCTCAGGTGCCGGAAGAGGCGACCTGAAAGATGCAGGTCACTAGGCCACGGAGGGCATTTGGGTCACAAGGATGGGTCAAAGATGCCCTAGTTGAGCTTGGGATGCCCCTGTAGGATAAAACATTATAAAACCTTTCTTTAGCCACTAGGCATGAGAGCTTGGGATAAGTTAAGGATTGGTCAAATTCATTCGTTGCTCCCCCTTAAACACCAGGCATGTGTGCAAACGTCTGATTTGTCGTGTGCTTTTCATTCCCAGTTTGGTGAGGAGTTGTGTCAGAAATCAGAACCGCTACTGTACACAAAAGTCTAGGATACCTTGACCTTGATGTTCCATGATGTTCCTGATTTGGAAGGCAGTTTGTCTATCCAAACCAGTGGTTTGCAGGGTGCTTGCCTCCAGTTGGGTCATTCCTTTTGGGGAGTGCAATCGCTGAAGGAAGTGGGGCAACCGAACCAGTTCGACCACACGCAACCTGACGGCACACCCCCGTGCTGCGGAAGAAAGCGCAGCATATGGCGGTGCGAAAGGAGGAGCAGCATAGAAAAGATTGGACACATTCCGCGAAGCAGAGCAGATGTGGCACTTTAAAAAAGTCATTTTGGATTTTGGATACTGTTTGCTGGGTTGTGGGCTCTTCAAGAGCTGCCCGCTTTCGTTCAGTAAAATGCTGAACTCTCACTTGGCTGATTCGGTCAGTGTTTGGCCGGTGACAGGAATAAGGTGATTTGGCCGTGTTTGTTCATGTCGTATGCATAGGTTGGGATGCTCGGATGCAAGCTTCTTAATTTGGCTAGATATTCGATGCCCGTCAGTGGCCTACTTGGCCTACTTCCCCTCTAAACTTTTTGGATTGGCTCTCTCAAAATGAAACAGCCAAGCAGTCCTGACATCTGAGAGGCCAACAACACCACTGACGGCTGATGGCATGAAGACGACGTCGTCCATTTGTGTGGCCGAGCCGGTGTTTGGTTCAAGTGGTTTTGATGCGCGCGGCAGGACTGCCATTTTTGCCACCCTTGATCTATGTCAATCTAATCAAAACAGATCTGAGCAGGTTACCAGTGAAATCTCGCAAACCCTTTATCGCCACGTACCTTCTAAGAACGTGTCGAGGGTCCGAATATCTTCTGAGGAGGTACTTGGAGCCCGCCTGGCGGGGAAACAAAAAGGAAAGTCGCAGATGTTGGAACTTGGCAAGGCAAGATGTATTGACATGTATTGACCTCGTTGATGTTTTTGACCAACGCAGAACATCCGGTGAACACTCCGCAGAATCATCCGCCGGATGCGATGGAGAACCTGGACATTGATGGCCTGGATGAATTTGACGATGAGGTCCGGAAACGCCAAAGCGAGACTACCTCAGGTCGAAAAAAACACCTACTACTACTACTATTCGTACTACAGATTAACGGAGACGTATTGAGGATTGTCAAGTATTGACTATATGACCAGCTGCATCAAATTGATCTACAATTGGTCGCATCAAGCAACACTCGAACTTCCTGGTAAACCTTTGGTCATGGCACAGGCTCTCCCAAAGATTGACGATCGCTTGCTAACCGGTGGCCCGCGTCGTTGGATGGGGTCTGATAGACCTGGTCTTGCTTCGGGTGATGTTTGTAATTTGTGTGTATATGTATAAATATGATTGGTTGTTATAGATTGATATTGTATATGTGTTCTCTCAAGGGGATAGCATGCCTGATGTGCGGGTTCCACCGGAGCTTTTCAAAGTCAGAGCTGCCTGCCTCTCCCACCAGACCCCACCCTGGGGAAGGTGGGAAGAGGTCAGGTGGTTTTACGCGTGGGTGAAAGCGGTTTGGCACCATCACTTGCCCTCAGCACTCCTCGTGGAGTGAGGGGGTGAGTAGTGGCCAAGTCTGGCCTCTGGAAGCCCTAGGCTCCCTTGTGAGAGTGAGGGAAACCAGAGGCCACTGCCACTTGTTCAGGTTACGGAGAGCTCCACCTCTCCTCGTGGGAGGCGGTCCTGAGGACCCTGTCCCTCCTAGGCAGGAGCCTGGAGGACCTGGGAGGGAGAGGATGGAGAACCAAAAGTTGAGGGCTTTCAAGAAAGGAGGGACGTTGGAAGATTGGAATGATCTGTTGCAGGGTGGCCTTCTGCCCCATCATATGACTTGGGTCAATGGAAAAGATCATGATGATGTGTTGGCCTATGCCGAATCGGTTCTGGGCAAGGGCTGTGTGATGTGGAGTATGAATGTTATAATTGGAATGGACGAGCCCAGGGCAAAGCTTGTTTGCCAGTTGAGGATTGGAGTGACGCTGGTCGACGATTTCTGGTGGGAGACCATCTGATCGCAAGTGACGGTTACTATGAATGGTATGGACAAACGTACTTGAAGGACGGAAAGGGTCTCTATCATTTTTGCAGCGCAGACCGGACGAAGTGTAAGGAGAAACTCCCTCGTGGTGATGGGCGAGAGTTAGTACATATCAGTCGATGGAGGCTGGCAAGCATTCTGATGATGCATGATATGGAGTATGCAAGGAAGAAAGCCATGGAAGGTATCGTTAGTCTTGTTGATGGATGGACGCCCGTGTGCCGGAACCAGCAGGAGCACCGCCCACGAAGGAAAAGCCTTGAGGCTTTGGATGATCCGACTGGTCTGGACAGGGCTGTGGAGAAAGCCAAGAAAGCAAGAGAAGAAAGGAGAAGCCAAAGCTGAAGCAGGGCGTGGACCGAAGGGATCCGTCGGGGCTCTATTGGAACGAAAGGCAGCGGAGCGTCAGGAACAGCAAAGAAAAAAGGAGGAGGAAAAGAAACGGGAGAGTCGTGGCCGAAGTCGAAGCCGCAAGAGACGCAGGGTGAGAAAGAAAAAGATTAATTCTTCGAGTGAGAGGAGGAGTGATTCGGATAGAAGTGGGTCTTCAGAGTCGCACAAGGTTTTCGACAGCCCTTTACCTGGGCGGAGGACGAACTGTGGCGGCCCTCAGTCAAGCCGAAGGAGGCGCCGGAGAAGAAAGTTGGTCGAAGTACAAGATGATGGCGTACGTGAATTAGGTGGTACTGCTTCAGCGGCCATCGGGGTAAGAAGTCACAAAGAACTGATTACCCTCGGGACAGCCATCGACATGCTGATCATGGGGGAGCTCTCAGAGTTGGGGGATCTCCTGATGCAGCGAGACCAGTCTGGTCGACAGCAACTGGATGACAGCTCGACACCAGGAGTTGATACCGCCGCAGGCCGCCAGCTTGACCTCAGAGAGCGGGCGGAGAAGG